AAAAGAAATTTGGGACCCTTTTCCTAAATCACAGTTATTAATCTGGAGAATTAAGACCAGTTATTTAGTAAATATCTGTCCTTGCTTTGCAATGCTGAACAAATCTATGTGTGCGCACACACACACACACACACACATATACACATATGTGTGTATGTGTACATTTATATATAAGAGAATCTTCACATTTCTTGCCTTCATAAAACAGTTTATCTTCTCATAGTATGTAGAGTCCATTTTAGAGATGTATATTCAGCAAGTTATGTTTACTTTCAAACTAATACATATTTTGTAAATCCAACAGATTTGATAATATAATTTAATGGGTAAAAAAAACAGTAAAAAAGAACCTTTTAACAATAAAACTAAGTTTGTTTCATTGCAGATTTGCCTATTATAATATGCAACAGCTAAGCTTTAACATACATTTATGAAAGGCACAACATGTTTACAGGGCAAAGAAAGCAAGAAACCAAAAGGGAGCTACTTTCCCTGATTTCCTTTGTGTACAAGTTGTAGCAGTTTTAAGGCAGACCTTGTTCTGTGCAAAATACAGCAAATTGAAAATAATTATATTACATATTCACACATTCTCAGATATTCTGATACCATTCTTCAGGATATTTATTTATCATAAAGCATATTAAAACTTTTTTTCCTAATAAAATGTAAAGAAGTCCATGAAAATTTAAAAACGATATTTCACGCTGGGCATTGGTGGCTCAGTCCTGTAGTCCTAACTACTCAAAAGGCTGAGATTTGAGGGTCATGGTTTGAAGCCAGCCCAGGCAGAAAAACCCAAAAGACTCTTACCTCCAATTAACCAGCACAACGCTGAAAGTGGAGGTGTGGCTCAAGTGGTAGAGCACCAGCCTTGAGTGAAAAAAGCCAAGTAAGAGTGCAAGGCCCTGAGTTCAAACCTCAATACTGGCACAAGAAAAACAAACAGCAACAACAAAATTTCAATACAGTCCTCTTCCCCCCAGAAGATAAAGAAAAGTCACTCTTTTTTTTTCGTTTCTTCTTTTAGAAATGTCCATATCAATTTGTTTACAATGTCAGGTTGGTCTTGCTGAAGCCAGTGACTAGCTTCTGTCAAAATGGTCAGTCTGAAATAGTTCTTCACATAAATCTTGGTGACCTCAGCCATCTCTACCTCCATAAATGCATCTTTCTCTCCCCATAATAGTAGTGTTGGAGTGTTCACCATGTGATGCTTGAGAGGCAGGCAGCTAGAAAAATAAAATACACAAGCTTGGGATTCATTATAAAAATGAATTTTCCATCAGGCCATGCATTCACAAAAGGGGTGATAACTTTTACTTTGTTTGCTTAATATAAAATGTGCATATACATATAGTATATAAACATACATGAACATTTTGTGGGTTGAGGGTGATGAGGGAAAACTAAAGTCTACAAAGGAGGTGCTAATGAAAAAATACTTGAAAAAAACTGCATTAGGCAATCAATCTGCACAACTAAAGAAGTTTAAAGGTGTGTATATGTGTTTGTGTGTAGGGGGAAGGTGGTTCTGGGGCTCAAACTCAGGGACTGTCCCTATGCTTTTATGCCCAAGGTTATCACTCTACTTCCTGAGCCATACCTCCAGTATTTTTGTTGGTTAATTGGAGATAAGATTCTAGCAGTCTTGTTTGCCTAACTTGGCTTTGAACCATGAACCTCAGATCTTAGCCTCCTGGGTGGCTAGGATTATAGGCATCAGCCACAGAAGGCTGGCCTGTTTGTTTATTAATGGGGAGAAATTCCCACACTTGGAGTCAGAGAAATCTTCAGTCTTAATTGCATTGTGACAGAAGAGGAAAAGCAGGCAGTTTTGTTTTTCTTCTAGACACAGTAGTGTTTTACAAATTTCTGAAAATACAAAGTTCTCTCCAACATTATTGTTAATTTCTGTATTGTGTTCAAAGAATATTAATCCATAGGATAATAATTCTTTGGTATTGGCTAAGAGTTACTTTGTAGTCCACTATGTAATCAGTCTTTAGAAATAATTTATGTGCTGAAAATTGTGTGCATTTTCTTTTAAAAGTTTTTTATAATTAACTTTATGTGTGTCAGTACTGGGGCTTGAACTCAGGGCCTGGATGCCGTTCCTTAGCTTTTGTGCTCAAAGCTGGCACTTTACCACTTGAACCATGCTCTGCTTCCCAAATAGAAATATTTTACTTGACCAAAATGAAGTTATACTGACCTGAAAATACTTCGATAATGATTAATTGGACCACTTAGTGCTCCAGGCTGAGAAAAGACATAAACATAAGCTTCAAGATCTTCTGTTGTTAATCGACAGCCTCGGTGTCCAATGCCTGTGCTTTGACTGGTAAACAGATGTTTCAAAGCCTAATATAAGTGAACAGAGAATAAAGAAAGCCTCTCAGTTGTAAAATAAACTCAATCACTGACTCTAAAAGCGGGGGGGGGGTGTTTGTCGTACAGTGAATGGTGGGTTTCCCAGCCAGCGGGGTGAGAAACCTCATTGTTCATGATGCATCCTATGCATTTCTTCAAATGCCTTTGAAAATGCCACCTTATGACAAAGCATCCTGTCTTCTTAGTGTCTATTCGTATACTACAAGGTCCAGCACAAGTGCTACCAAAAAAAAAAAAAAAAACTTCCTTCATATCCCAACTATGATTTACCAGCATTCCCAGAGTAACCAATGCCTTCCACAGCCTAAATATAAACAACAAATAGGTAAAGAAACAGCTCTTATTCTTATAATGTACACTGATATTTTCAAGTCAATTCTGTTATGCTTAGTTCTTTATAAATTCTAATTGCAAGCTACGACATTGATTTCATACCCCGCCCCACCCCCCAACTTTGAACAGCACTGTTCTATGCATCACTTCTGTACGTGTAAATAAACAGCAGAATAACTAGGACCTAGGTTTACAATAGAAATCCCTCACTCCAAAACCACACTTGCAAAAATGTGACATGACATCGCATAGGTGATTAATTGTAATAGAAATGACTTGAAGAGCCAGGCACTGGTGAATCACACCTTTATTCCTTTCTACTGAGGTGGCTGAGATTTAGAGGACCACAGTTGAAGCCAGACTGTGCTGGCCTGTGGTCCATCAGGCTTCATCTGTAATTAACCAGCAAAAAGCTAGGCAGGAGGCATGGCTCAAATAGTAGAGCATCAAGCTAGCAAGCAAGCTGAATGAGAGGTGGAGGCCCTGAGTTCAAGTCCTGGTACTGGTACACACACACACACACACAATGACTAGAAGCACATACCAATCAGTGGGGGATGGGTCAAATAAAATGAAATATAGCAGTACATGCAACAGCAATGTTCTGAGATCCTACTACCCTGAGAATAAAGATGCTTTTCTGGAGTGATCTCCAAGACATATGGTTAAGTAGAAAAAGAAAACCAAGCTGGGCTGTAGTCGCACACATCTGTCATCCCAACAACACAGGAGGTTGAGTTTAGGAGGATCATGATGTATGGTCAGCCCAGCCACAGAGAGAAACTGGATGCAGTGGCACATACCCATGATCCCAACAAGAAGAAGAAGCCTACAGTCAGTGCAACATGTTCCAGGTGTGGGCCCAGGTGGGAAGCAAGCCCCCACCCTAAAAATAACTCATGAATAACAGAGCTGGAGGGGAGTGAAAGTGTCAGGTACCAAGTGACATTTATACAAATTCCTCTGAAAGAAGCACTGTCACTGATTTAAGGGACTATATAACAGGAAATGGTAGCCAATTTATAGGGATTCCACTTCTCTAATCTGGAAAAATCTGAGCACCAATAAGAATAATGACCCGGGTGCCAGTGGCTCATGCCTGTAAGCCTACCTACTCAGGAGGCTGAAATATGAGGATCTTGGCTCAAAGCCACCCCTGGCAGGAAAGTCTATGAGACTCATCTCCAATTAACCACCAAAAAGCCGGAAGTGGCTCTGTGGCTCAAGTGGTAGAGTGCTTGCCTTGAGCTGAAGAGCTCAGGGACAGCACCCAGGCCCAGAGTTCAAGGACCCATGACCGACCAAAAAAAAAAAAATTGTAATTGATTGGCATATATCAAAAATACACTCTTTATGCTGAAAACTAGTTAGTAAAAGGGGGGAAAACATTTATCTAATTTATTAACCAACTAAAACATATGGGAAAATATTGTTCTTTTTAAAAGAAAAAAATGAAGCTGAGCACAATGACAAATACCTGAAATCCTAGCTACTCATGAGGCAGAAATAGGCAACCCCGGGCCAAGTTAGCATGAGGTTCTATCTGGAAAACAAACTAAAAATGCAGAAGGAGTTTGGGTATGGTTCAAGTGATAAGTGAGGGGCCTTGAGTGAATCCCCAGTAGTGAAAAATAATATAAAAATAGAACTAGGAAATCACCATTTTTCACATTGCTATAAAATAGTAGGCCTAAGCTATCATGATTCCTGTATAGTAACATCCATTTGTTGAAAAGTTGTCAGGGATGTTTGTTTGGACAGGGGGATGACCCAGGAGCCCATACTTCAGTGCTGGTGATGTCTTCGGTATCAAGAAATGTTCCTAGATAAGCAGCATAAATGAAGTAGGAAAATGAAGGTTAGAAGAACAGGTGAAACTCCACCTTGAGGCACCTAATCCCATCCAAAGTGTGGGGCCCTCCCTTAGGACAAATAATCGAAAGAAAAAAGGAAACTTTAATAAAGTTTAAAAGCCTAACAGCTCAGGGTGGTGGCCTGTGCTTATATATTGTCTGCTACACTGGGAGGCTGTGACAGAAGGATTAGAGACCAGAAGTTCAAGGCCAATCTGGGAATAAAGTTCTGTCTGTAAATATACAGATAGACAAGTACATGAAATTAAACTTAAAAAGGCTGTAATAACAATGTACAATGTATGGGCCTTGTTTTGTTTTTGATTAAAATAAAATGTAACAAGACAAAAGCATTAAGGGAATCTGAATAGGTGCTAAATGACAGTAAGGAATTGCCATTGGTTTTGTGAGGTTTTTAAAGTGTCACTGGGATCAGGTGAAAAAAAAATCCCTTCTTTACAAAAAATTTTTGAAATGTAAGGTTTTGTCTTAAACTGGTTTCTTTTCAAGGTAGAATTAAGACATACCTCAGACTGTTCAAGAAATAGCCGAGATAGAGAACCAACCCAGATGCCCCTCAGTGGATGAATGTATCAAGAAAATGTGTATAGACACAATGGAATTCTTCTCATCCAATAGAAAGAATGATACTTTACCAGAAATGGAAAGAGTTGGAAAAAATTACATTAAGCAAAGTAAGCCAGATCCAAAGAAACATAAGTTGCACAGATTCCCTTATTTGTGGTAATACGATTTAAAAAAATACACTAGGATATGATAAACAGGTCTTTCACACAGTGAGGTGAAAGAAGTAGATCACAAAGGCTCTACAGCTATGTGCATATGATCATATAAATAGTATTTTATGAGATAAACTCTAAGAAAAGGAAACGAGATTTTTTTTAGTTGCTGTTTTTGTTTTCATTTCCTTTTTTCTTGTTTGTCTAAGGAGGGTAAGGAGTGGAACAGAAAAGGTGGAAGAAAGGGTGAACAAATACAACAGATACTCATTAGACACTATGTGGAAAATGAAGTGTACATCTTGTTTGTGGGGATGGTAGGGAAAAACGGGGAGAGCGAGTGATGGGGAAGAAGTATGTACTCATTACCTGACTCATGTAACTGTAACCCCCCTGTATATAACCTCTACAATAACAATAAAACATATATAAAAAGGAACAGAAGAGAGTGTGGGTATATTTTGAGATTACTTATATACTGTTCATCTTATTTCAAAATCACCTTATAATAATACATTTCACCTCATTCAAACTAGCCAATCATGAGCAGATTGTGAACCTGAGGCTTAACCAATTTGAGCAGAGGAGCAGGGCTTGCTACATTAGCGATAAATACCGAAGCCAACTGCCTACACTGTGGGCTTGCTTACCAGATTTCTGCATAGAAAGAAATTTCTCCTTGCTGGGGAAAAAAAAATCCTTTCTTGACTGAGTGTGGCTCAGAGAGATGCTTAGCATATGTGAGGTGCTGGCTTCATTTCTCCGAAACCAAAATAAATGATTAAAATTTAAAAAGCACTCATCTGTCAGAGAGATATACCCAGAATTATTTCTAGTAAAATGATGTTTTTTTTTCCCAATGAGCTTGATTGTTTCAATATCTAACACCATTGTGTTGTGACAAGAATTCAAAAAGCATCCAGGATACTTACACACCAAAAGCTACCTAGTACTGCATTTAAAAGGGTTTTATTTGTTCCGTAGGGCTTCTCACCTGGTATTCTCGACCCTCATCTCTCTATGAGACCCTTCTTTACCAAAAGCTCAGCCTGCAGGAGTACAGGCTCTCACAGGCTCTGTTCATTACATGAACAGAGACGGTAAAACAATACAAAAAAACAAGCATGTCCTTAAACCTATTTATTAAATTTTAACTTTTTGATTCCATGTTTTCATCCTAAAAAATGGGCTTTAATTGAAAATTAAAGCATGATTAATAATATGTTAGTTGTTTGACTTACCTGGAAATCATTTATTGAGAACATAAATTCTGGAAGCCGGGGTATTTGGAAGAAGTAGTAAAAGCTGGATTTGAACAGCTGGACAGGGTGTCGTAAAATGTATTCTGAAATTAAAATTCCAGATTAGACTTCATTCAAAAGGTATGTTACTTTCATATTGAAAGACCTCTAAGGACACTCACCCAGATCCTAAAAGAGGATCCACAAGTAAGATTCTTTATATTTTTCTTTAGAATAATCTCTATGTTCTTTTCCTTTTAACTTTGTAATGATATTCATCGTTGGAATTTTGGGTTTTTTGGAGTTTGTTTTTGTTTCTTCTTGCCAGTCCTAGGGCTTGAAGTTAAGGCCAGGGCTCTATTCCTGAGGGTTTTTTGTTTGTTTGTTTTTGCTAAAGGTTAGCACTCTACCACTTGAGCCACAATGCTACTTTCAGCTGTTTAGTGGTTAATTGGAGGTAAGAGTCTCAGGTCTTTCATACCCGTGGTTGGCTTTGAACTGTGATCTTCAGATCTCAGCCTTCTGAATAGCTAGGGTTATAGGTGTGAGCCACTGGTGTGCAACTCACAGTTTAGAGTTTTTAGACATAATTTTTAGGTGAGTTGAGCACTGTTTTCATAGACTTTTGTGAAGTGGTCATTGAATAACTCCTATATTAAGAGATTTAACTATAGGAAAAAATGCAGGCATGCTACTGGAAACATCTTATTGATCTGATGCAATTAAGAATGTAGTTCCAGAATATTCTTGCTGAAATCATCAGTTTGTTTACCTACACATTACTGCTACCAAAAAAACCCACTCCAGCTGCAGGGAGCCAGGGCAAACGCCATTACAAGATGGCGCCCACTTCCTTGCAGCTTTGAGGTAAACAACTCCATATTAGGCAGTGCTTGGCGGGACTGTGGGTCCCCGGCTTTGTGCATGTGCGAGCCATTTAGAGCCCTTAGCCAATCCCGTGGCACCTGGTGACGGTGAAAGGCAGACGACCAATGATAGAACGACCCGTGTTCCTATTCCCTATATAAGCGGCCACATTTTCGTGTACGGGGTCTCTCGCTCAAGCTCTCCTATCAACTCAAAAGCTCTCCAATAAAGTGTGATCTGAGAAGACTCCTGGTGTGGTGGTCGTTCTTCCTCGCTGGCCGAGAAGGCGTTCACTGCATCCAGCACATATGGCTTTGGTGCCTAGTTCAGTGGAGAAAAGTGAATCTCATCTCAGGGCGCTTGCACACTAAGCAGCTATTTTACTGGGCCTCGAGAGTCTGCACAGGCGAAGCTGTGCCTCAGGTGAACTTGAGATACACCTGCAGTGTGCACTTTATGTAGTCGCTGAAGCCCCTGTCTTCCCCAGGCACTAATTTTGAAGAAGAAATAGAAATATGTTTCTCTGAATTTTTGTTTCCTAAAAGGGTGTTGTAGATCTCAGCAGTGCTTAAACCTGACTCCAATGTATATCCTGCAAAATTGCGAAGAGAGAGAGAAGGGGTGGGAAGGGGAGGGATGGGTAACAATGCTAAAAAGGGGGAGAGAGGTGCATCAAGCTGCACTGTATTTGTAAACTGCTCTGCTGAACAACTCCTTTGTGCAACTACCTGAAAATAATATAACTGTAACAAAGACAAAAGGAGACAAAACCTAACGAGGGTAAACAGGACATTATCGTTATTATGACAGTGCCAACTCATTGTTCACAGGTCATTGCTCACTATTAAGATTCTGAGTTCCCTTTAAGGCAGAGGTTCTCTAAGTAGAGTTCCTTTGAAGGGACACAGATGTTCAGAGCCATTTCAGAATGAAGACATTATTTGTCTTGTTCACTGGGTTGAAAATGGCAATGATGGTCCACAACCAATGGCTGGCTGTCCTCAAATCAAGGCAGTACAGGGAACGATGCGGCTAGCCCTGCTGTCCTAAATGAACTAGCTCATCAATGAGATGCCAGGGTCACTTACTCATGTGTAAAGGCAAAGAGGAGTCATTTTCCTTCATTCCCAACCTTTGAGCATTCATCTTTTAACACTCCATGTATGTGATGAAATATACAGTACACATCAAGCAGTATGGTTGCAGACCCAAATACAATATAGTCTTAAGGACTTTGAGACTCCTGAAAATGTTTGGTTTAATAAGTAAATTAGTTGCACATATTTTTAAAAGTTTTGGGCAATAAGTGTTAAATTGGGGGAGGGGGACCTGTATATGCCAGGAAGGTGCTCTACCACTTGAGTCATACCTCCAGCTTCTTTGTGCTTTGGTCATTTTTGAAGGCTTGGCCTGGACTGCAGTCCTCTTATTTGTGATTTTTTTTTGTGTTTCTGGGAATGACAAGCACGTGCCACTATAGTGCCATTGTGCCTCTCTTGTAGCTGAGCCAACAGGCATGTTCTACCATGTCTATCCATTAAGTCAGATGGTGTATCTCAAAAACTTTATGCCATGCTGGCCTCCAACTGTAATCCCCTGATCTCTGCCTCCCAAGTAGCTAGGATTACAGGCTTGCTTGAGTCACAACACCGGAAAACGAATTGATGACCACAGTGGCTCAAGCCTGTAATACTAGCTAATTTGAGGGTAGAGATGAGAGGACTATGGTTTGAGGCCAGCCTGGACAAAAAAAGGTCTGTGAGACTATGTTTCAAGCAATAGCAGGGAGCAGTGGCTCATGTGTGTAATCCCCAGCTGCATGGGGAAAGATCACAGCCTAAGCCAGAAAGCAAGACTTTATCTTGAAAGTAAATAAAGCAAAAAGAGTCTAACTTAAGTGGTTGCACATCTGCCTAGCAAGCCCAAGGTTGCCAAACCAAGGTATTTGACATTGCCACATGCTACTATGATTTATTTATTTTGACTGTACCAAGATTTGTCCAGTGTTGAACCAACCTGAGCCATATTCTAGGCCCTGCCTCTTTCCTGGTATTCTGGAGAGCAAGGCTCATGGACTTTTTTTTTCCCATGCTAGTCTTCAATAGTGATCCTCTAGATCATAGCCTCTTGAGTAGCCAGGATTATAGGGGTGAACTGCGGGTACCCAGCTTAGTCAGTTAACTTTTTGGGTGGGGGTCCGGTCGTGGGGCCTGAACTCTGGGCCTGGGCGCTGTCCCTCAGCTCTTCTGCTCAAGGCTAGCACTCTACCACTTGAGCCATAGCACCACTTCCAGCTTTTTTTACTTTCTGCTTATGTGGTGCTGAGGAATCGAACCCAGGGCCTCATGCATGTAAGGCAAGCACTCTACCACTGAGCTACCTTCCTAGCCCAGTCAGTTAACTTTTGAAAAGAGGATCTTAACCAAATTTTTGCTATTTTTAATCCAAAACGTTAGTGACAATAGTGAGTTGTCCCATCAGCAGACACGTTTTAATGAAAATTCAGACCCACCTGTGAAGACATTCGGATGAGGGAAGTTAATAGCAATCAGTTTCATCACCATTTCTGGATAACAGATGGCGATTAGCCAAGCAATCATACCCCCCCAGTCATGGCCAATCAGAACACATTTGCTATATCCTGTAAGGAAGGGGAAAAATGTTCATGTAACTGAAAAGAGATAAGTAGGTGCATCACTTTCTCACATAAAATCGTTTTCTTCTAGAACCTTCTTCCCCACCTTTCTGCCCTATTTACTCTATAAATGATATACTTTTAGAAATATATTGAGAGATGAGCACCAGTGGCTAATGCCTATAATCCTAGTTACTCAGGAGGCTGAGATCGAAGGACTAGAGTTTGAAGCCAGCCCAGGCAGGAAAGTCTGTGAGACTTTTATTTCCAACTAACCATCCAAACAGTCAGAAGTAGTGGTATGGATCAAGTAGTACTAGCCTTGAACTAAAAATGGTCAGGGATAGTCACCAGGCCCTGCTTTCAAGCTTGAGCACTGACATATACAATAAAAATCAAAATGGAAATAAAAATGTTAAGTTTAGTGGTTCCAAAACTTGTCTGTACGTCTAAGTCAGCTAGATAGCTGACTTAGCACTTTCCTTGCATGCATGAGGCCCTGGGTTCAATTCCTCAGCACCACATAAGCAAAAAGCAAAAAGGTGGAAGTGGCGCTGTGGTTCAAGTGGTAGAGCGCTAGCCTTGAGCTGAAGAGCTGAGGGACAGCGCCCAGGCCCAGAGTTCAGGCCCCACAACCAGACCCCCCCCCAAAAAAAAAATAATTATGATCATGTTAGCTAGAGACACCAGCATCTGAGTTAGAGCAAAGTCAAGGACAACTCCCTACTACCATCTTTTCTGTTTAATTATATAAGGTAACCCTTTTACATAGGAGTTAGACACAGAAAATGGAAGAGCAGGAGATCATACCATGTGCCATGCCCCTTATTCCAGATCTCACCAGCTATAAATCTAGTCAGTGATGGGGAGGCAAGATTTTAATCAGATATGAGATAGGGATTAAAGCAGCACTCTACTGAATTTAAAATTAGAAAATCAAGCTATGGCATCTGCTTGTAATGTCATCAAGGACTAGAAAAAGGGGATTAGATATCTCATGGTTAAAAGCATTAGTTGGAAAAAAAGTTTTAATATTTCCTCTGAACTGAGATGTCTCAAACTAGTTATATGTGTCCTAACATCGTTAACCTCTTTTTTTTTTTTGGTGGTCTGGGCCTAGGCACTGTCTCTGTGCTCTTCAGCTCAAGGCGAGTGCTCTACCACTTGAACCACAGCACCACTTCCGGCTTTCTAGTGGTTTATTGGAGATTAGAGTTTCATGGACTTTCCTGCCCAGGCTGGCTTTGAACCATGATCCTCAAATCTCAGCCTCTAGAGTAGCTAAGATTACAGATGTGAGCCACCAGCACCCAGCTAGATAGCTTTTTATAAAATTGAGATGCCCAGGTTCCATGTTGTACTTAGAGATTCAGAATTTCTTTGCCAGGAAGTCTACCAATTTGTTTAATCTTAAATTGCCATCTAAGCACTTCCAGAATTTGGAAACCATGGTAAAGACCAAGTGTAGTTAAGTTAGGTCATAAATAAAATTATGTGGAATCACTTTTGAATACTGAGAAATCACTAGGTATAGCAAGTTATAAATGTCTCAATTAGATTTTTTTTTTTGCCAGTCCTGGGGCCTGAACTCAGGGCCTGGGCACTGTCCCTGAGCTTCTTTTGCACAAGCTGGCACTCTACCACTTGAGCCACAGTGCCACTTCTGTTTTTTCTGTGTATGTGGTACTGAGAAATGGAACCCAGGGCTTCATACATGCTAGGCAAGCACTCTACCACTATGCCATATTCCCAACCCTTAGATTCATTTTATAAATCTTTATTTCCAAGAAGTAACTATTTTCTCCCAAATTGTATAAATCTAATGTCATAAATGCAGTCATTCATTGGGAAATATGAAATCAAAATTAAACTAGCAGAAAGTCTTAGTTACAGCCTCAGTTCATACAGTCACTGATACAGAAAGACATTTCCATTGATGCTGGATTATATAATGTTGGTCCCATAAAATCAAAATGGTGCTGAAGAATTCCTATCAGCAAGTAACATAGCTGTCCTAAAAAATACCGTGCAGTCCATTCCTGGGTGTTTGTGGTGATGCTGATGTAAACAAAACTTATTGCTCAGTTGACTGAAAGTATGACATCATTGTATGCAGTACAGAATAATAAATGACTTAGTAACTAGTTTATATGCTTAGTGTATTATCCTGTTATTATTATTTTAGAGAGTGGCTCTAATTAAAACCATTTGCTGTAAGCCAGGCTGCTGAGGGAATGCCTGCAGTAACCTCATGCTGCTGTGTTCACGAAGTCTCTAGTATGGCATCAATAGGCCATACTGAGTAAATGGCTTATACTATCTAGGTTGATGTATGTATACATTGATATTTGCACAAGGACCAAACTGCTGACCGAGGTATTTCCCAGAATGAATCCTATTATTAAGGAACATTATCATAACTATGTAAGATTCATTTCATGTAATCATCATGATAATTTACATGAGGATTAAAATATGGATTACTAGAGATTTATACAAGATTTTCCTTGTGTAGATGGAATTTGTCATTTATTTCTGTAATAGTTACAATTACATTATTTCTTTTCAGAATTTCTTACCATCAACACACACACATACACCCCAAAATCTTTTGAGATGGTAAATTAGGCCTGGTCAGATAGAATTATCACAAAATCTGAATGAAGCCAACTGTATAAAAGTAGCATCTGAGTGATCAGACTCATTAACAACACTGCAGGTTGACACCTTAGATCCCATTCATTTTTGCTTCTCTCAAATTTTGGCTATGGGCATTAGATTATTATAGAAATATATATGTTCTTGTTAGATCAATATGGAAAAGGTCTTTGATTTCATGGTGTTTCTCACTATATTGTTTCCTTAACATACTGATGTTAGCAGGAGGACATTAGTCAAAGGGAGTGTAGAAGATTAGATTATTTTAGACCAGACATGTTGGTACACACCTGTAATCCCAGCACTTGTGAGAAACAGGCTGTAAATTATGAGTTCAAGGATATTCTGGTAGAAGTATGCTTTATTGCATCTTTGGTGTGAGACTTGGCCAGGTGCTCTGCTACTATCTCTTGATGGCTATGAACATGCACGAACACGGGAATATATGACCATGGGTGTGTGACACTGACCTTGGGGAATATCTGACACAATAATTATAGCTGATCAATACTACAGAGACAATGCAGGGACTCTTTATGACATGTTAAAATGAATACGTCAAGGGAACAATGAATATTCAACAATTAGTTCTGAAAATAATAAACAGAGCCAGGCTCCAGTGGCTCAAACCTGTAATCCTAGCTACTCAGGAGGCTGAGATCTGAGGATTGCAGTTCAAAGCCAGCCCAGGCAGGAAAAGCCATGAAACTCTTATCCCCAATAAGCTACCAGAAAACCAGAAGTGGCGCTGTGGCTCAAGTGGTAGAGCACTCGCCTTGAACTGAAGAATTGAAGAACAGGGCCTAGGCTCAGAGTTCAAGCCCATGACTGACCAAAAAAAAAAAAAAACAAACACAAAAAAACAGAAGACATTAGGCGTATTCCACCCCCTCCCCAGACTGGAGCCTTCTCTTCTTAATTCTCTAAAGAAAGAGAAAGACTGGTGTGTGTGTGTGTGTGTGTGTGTGCCTGCCTGTGCCTGTAGTGGGGCTTGAACTCAAGATGTGTGTGTGTGTGTGTGTGTGTGTGTGTGTGTGTATGTGCCTGCCTGTGCCTGTAGTGGGGCTTGAACTCAAGATCTTGCATTCTTGCTCAACATTTTTGCTCATAGTTGGTGCTTTATTACTTGAGCCCTGCCTCTAGTGCCAGCTTTTTGCTGGTTAATAAAGAGTCTTGAATATTGTCTGCCTGGGGCTAGCTTTGAACCTTGATCCTCATATCTTAGCATCCTGAGTTGCTAGGATTTATAGGCGTGAGCTACTGGTGTTTGGTTAGAAAGGTCTATTTAAAAAAATTAAAATTTGAAAGTCACCCTTAGCTAGGCCCTCAAGATGGTGTTCATGTAACTTTTCTATATAAATAGCTAAAACTAAGCTGACAGATTCCTGATGGCACCCAGCAGCGATGGAAAACGCATCCTTCCAAGCAGAGAAGGCAATTCTCAACTTGCCAAATGTTCCTTAAAAAGAATTAATACATAAAAAAACTAACCTACCCAAGGAATCTAAAATATCCTTTATATCTGTAATTAGGCAGTCCAGTTTATAATTCTCTCGATGAATGGGAGCATCTGTTTCTCCATAGCCTCTCAAATCCAATGCGACAACTCTATATTCACTTTTAAATTCTCTCAATTGGTGACGCCAAGAATACCTGCAGTGAAAAAAAGAAACAACAAAAACACCAACTAACACAGACAAACAGTAGCCAGGGTATGGTGGCACATGCCTATAATCCTAGCTAGTTATGCAAGAGAAGTCACTTGAATCCAGGACTTCACACCCTACCTTGTCAGAATAGAAACATCCCTGTCTCAAATTCAAACATCAAAACTATACAGTTGCCGAGTTACACCTGTAATCCTAGCTACTGGGGAGGCTGATATCTGAGGATCATGGTTCAAAGCCAGCCCAGGCAGAAAAGTCCGTGAGACGCTTATCTCCAATAAACCACCAGAAAACCGGAAGTGGTGCTGTGGCTTAAGTGGTAGAGTGCTTGCCTTAAGCTGAAGAATGCAGGGACAGTGCCCAGGCTTAGAGTTCAAGCCCCATGACCAACCAAAATAAAACAAAAAACAAAAAAACCCCAAACAGTCACTTTAAGTGGAAAATTGTAAAAATTCCTTATTTTGCAAAAAGGTTAGATATTTGTATGCTACAACAGGAAAAAAAATAGAAAGAAGTGCTGATAATCTTTACTAAAGTGATTTTACCTTCTAACAGCTCCAATGAAATATTTACAGAAGCTATAAAATAACAGACAATGCTTGGTATTATATATAATATACAAAAGGGTTTCAGTTCAACAAGTCAGAATGTGAGTACAGTACATCTTGATCGATGTCATCCTTTCATATATATATATATATATATACACACACACACACACACATATATATATATATATATATATATATTTGAGTTGGTCTGGTGTCATATTAGGCCTTGGAATTCTTTTTATTTTATTTTAATTTTATTGTCAACATGATGTACAGAAGGATGACAGTTACATAAGTAAGGTAGTGAGTACATTTCTTGTCTAACTTGTTACTTCCTCCCTTATACATATATTTAATAAATAAATTTTGTAAGCTTCTCTTAAAAGATACTTACAACATGGGAATTTGTACTAAGAGCAGTTACAGATTCTGCAGCCTAAATTTCTAGACAGAATAAATGGATGATAAAAGTCTTACAGCAATGAGAGGAGAGGGCAGATGAGTGTCCGAGAGTTTTATCAAAATGTCTAAGTGCTTATCTGGCCCAGGGCTTTGGTTAGAGTAATGTAAACAAAACAGAACATTTGCTACAAAATTATTTGTCTCTAAATTGGCATATTTATTAGATTTTAAGTATTTATTTATTTTATTTTTTGGGGGGTCTGGTCATGGGGCCTGAACTCTGGGCCTGGGTGCTGTCCCTCAGCTCTTCAGCTCAAGGCTAGCACTCTACCATTTGAGCCACAGCGCTACTTCCTGCTTTTTTCTTTTTGTTTATGTGGTGCTGATGAATCGAACCCAGAGCCTCATGCATGCAAGGCAAGCGCTCTACCACTGAGCCACCTTCCCAGCCCCAGATTTTAAATATTTATATATATATATATATATATATATATATATATCTTTTCTTTCTTTTCTTTCTTTCTTTCCTTTCTTTCTTTTCTTTCTTGCTTTCTTTTCTTTCTTGCTTTCTTTTCTTTCTTTCCTTTCTTTCTTTCTTTCTTTTTTGCCAGTCCTGGGGCTTGAACTTAGGGCTGAGGTGCTGTCCCTCAGCTCTTCAGCTCAAGTCTAGCGCTCTACCATTTGAGCTACAGCGCCACTTCTGGCTTTTTTTGTTTATGTGGTGCTGAGAAATCAAACCCAGGGCCTCAGAAATGCAAGGCAAGCACTCTACCACTGAGCCATCTTCCCAGCCCTATATATATATATTTTCTGAAACTGATTTTTACTTATTTTTCCCACTATCAAGTAGGGCTTGGTGTTTTTAGTAATTATAAGAGTTTATTCATAAATAGAAAAAGTCTGAGGATGAAAATGAAGGCTGTCACTGGAAGAATCCAATAGAACAGCCATTTAAGATAAGCCTCTGTTTGCAATGTAAGTTCTTCTGTGAGTCAATCATAAGCCGTAAGTACAAGCAATGGTCATATTCAAAACATTGAGCAATCAAAATGGCCCTGCAGTGACCAGCTATAATGGCCATAATGTTATAGCAAGCACTGAAGGCCTCTGCTGAGACAGACATGCCTCCATACTTCATCAGAGAAGCACGGAACCAACTGAAAACACAGAAACTCAAGAGATCATCTCCAAATAAGTTAAATTATTTTAGATAACTGGAAAGGATACAGCCTTTTCAAAGTGACTCACTGTGTTATAGAACTCAAAATCTGCATCTTACAAAAGCATGCTCATGCACATCTGTTCAGGAAAACACATGTGAAATTACCTGACATAACCTAAATAGGAGATTCTTGTCTGGAACTTTCTGAAGTGCACCAGACAAACACAAGGATATAAGATTCTGGAGCCATACATAGTGAGGAGACCACCAGAGGAAGTGACGTCAGTCAGTAAGATCAATACAGGTCTATTGACAGATATACACTCACACATATAATTGGAATTGTGAAAAGTTACAGCATCTCCAATCTACTACTAGGATATGTTAGAAGTAGAGCTATGGCTCAAATGGTAAAGTGCCAGCCTTGAGCAAGAAAGCTAAAGGACAGCACCAAGTCTCTGAGTTCAAGCTGTAGGACCAGCACAAAAACAAAAACAAAAGCACCTATGACTGTTAACATTGAGTGGAACTGAGCAACATCATAAATAATTGTAAGAAATGAAGCAACTGCAAATTTTATTCAATTATAGAAGAATACTTCACAAATTTCCCCTTCCTGAAATTTATAACTAATAATATATTGTGATTCATACTTTATCTCTAACTGAAGTCACTCTGGTGTTAGATGGGTGAGCATGTCATTCATATGACAGAAACAGTCCCTTGATACAGGAATGAAACATGCTACAGAAGCACTAATCCTGAAAATATCATAAATAAACAACACCACTGTCATGAGCTTTTTTTCTGGATAGTAACCTTAGGAAAATTGCAGAGGCATTTGGAAGAAATTAACCTCTTTCTCAGTTACTACTCGTGTGTGTGTGTGTGTGTGTGTGTGTGTGTGTGTGTGTGTGTCCTGGATTTGAACTTAGGAAAATTGCAGAGGCATTTGGAAGAAATTAACCTCTTTCTCAGTTACTACTCGTGTGTGTGTGTGTGTGTGTGTGTGTGTGTCCTGGAGTTTGAACTTAGAACCTGGTACTGTCCCTGAGCTGCTTTTGCTCAAGACTAGTGCTCTACCACTTGAGATAAGCTCCACTTCCGGCCTTCCTCCTATCTTCCCTCCCTCCCATCCTCCCTCTCCCTCCCTTCCTCCCTCCCTCCCTTCCTTCCTCCCTTCCTTCCTTCTCTTTTGGTAGTTCATTGGAGATAAGAGTCTCATGGACTTTCCTGCAGGGGCTGTTTGAACTGCGATCCTCAGATCTCAGCCTCCTGAGTATCTAGGATTACAGGCATGAGCCACTGGTTCTGGGCTTTAGTTACTACTCTTAACGTAGGGAGGCTCCAGGTTTTACAAGGGCAGCCATTTTCAGATGCAAGTGTCCTCTGTAGCTCCATCACAAAGAAGGGTCTCTGCTCTTGGCCTCTTTCCGTGGCCTCTGTGTTCAGCTGTCTGCACCAAGAGCCTTGTACTTGCTTCAGCACTGAGTGATGACACATGCATTCCTTACAGCTGGGGATGGAGAAGGCTCACAGAAATTGCTTGGGTCAGCTCAAAATATTTTTAAAAGAGATGCAAATTGAGGTGAAGAGAAAAAAAGAAGAGAGCTCAAGAAAAAAAAATCATCCTCAGACAAACAGCCTCATTTGGAGCTAATTTAGCTCAAGTTCTCACAGATGTGTATCTTCTTTCCTATTTCCTTTGAGTTCTAAGAAAGACCCAGGATTTGTTCCTGTGTACCATGAATGCATTAAATATCACCACTTGTCACAGCTATTCTTAGGCAGTGATGATGCATGCAGCGAATACATTACACTCATATGGCATGCCTCTCTTTCTAAAGCACTTTCACACACTGCACCAATGGTCATTTTGTTTCACTCTATCAAATATTTCTGACCCACCAGGTAGGCAAACGAGCTTATAATCTATGTGAATTTAGGCAAAACTTAATTGGTAGAGGAATAACATTTATACTTTTGGTAGAAATTGAAATTGGTCTGAAATTCCATACATAAAGTTTTTCAAAATGAAAAGAAGACAGAGAAAGGGAAAGAGAGAAAGAATGTATGGAAAGGAAGGAAGGAAGAAAAAGAAAGGAAGAGAAAGAAATAGAAGGAAAGAAAAAGAGAAAGAGAGAAAGAAGGAAAAGAAGGAAGGAAGAAGGAAGGAAGGAAGGAAGGAAGGAAGGAAGGAAGGAAGGAGGGAAGAAAGGAGGGAAGGAAGGAGGGAAGGAAGGAGGGAAGGAAGGAAGAGATTTGTCCTAAAACTTACATCCCAGGTTTTGGATGACTCTTTCCAGATCACCTGAGTGGAATGGACTAGACCCACTGAAGACAGTAACAGATGTATTCTTGTGAGAAGGAAGGACAATGTAGAAATCTTGGTTTAGGGTATGACATACTCAAAAAGAGGTATTTTGCTACCAGTAATTTGCATGAACTTGCTTAAGACTCTCTCTCTGAGCAACCAGGTTGCTTTCAGATTGGTGGTCAATATAGCTCATTATATTGTGTGGTTTCTTTGAGCAACTGAGTTCTTTGGGTGTGTTGATGTTTCACATTATAGCAAGGCTCTTGCCGGAATGAGAAAGGCTGGATTTGATAAATATAGGGGACTTGTTCCTATTGATAATGTGCGTATACTTCCTAATATATGAGTGTATTTCCTAACATACAGGGTGAAAAGAGCCTTTGTATTCTCACAAGGATGAGATCCCTTTGGACACATTCAGGACTGGACTACTAGAGCAAATGAGGCAAATGTCCTAGGGCCAGTGCCGGGCCCTTCCTAGTTTGTTTTGGCCACTGAAGATTCTAGGACATGTACAAGAATCATCAGGCATTTCATGGTGGGTGCCGATGGCCCATGCCTAGCTACTCAGGAGGCTGAGTTCTGAGGATTGCAGTTTGAAGCCAGCCCAGGCAGGAAAGTCTGTGAGACTTTTCAATTAATCACAGAAAAGGCTGGAAGTGGAGCTGTGGTTCAAGTGGCAGAGCACTAGCCCTGAGCAAAAGGATCTTAGGGACAGCACCCAGACTCAAAGTTCAAGCCCCAGGACCAGAAAAATAAAAGAATTATCAGGCATTGCAGTTTTGCAAAAAGACTCTGATAATGAGGAAATAATGGAGCAATAGTATGAACGACATATAAAAAGCTGTCATCCCAACATAAAACACACAGCACCCACCTCCCCATATCAAATACATATTAGTGTCTTTTTCTGTGACTCTGAGACAATTGCCAAATGGTTGAAGTTCTTATAGAGTCATTTGTATGTTTATGTAGATTGTTCCACACATAATAAAATCAGCGTTTCAGAAGGAAAAGAAGCATGGGTATTTATTGAAGCAATGAAGCCTCACTATCCCCACCATTCCAAATAAAACTCATCTTATTTAAATAATCACCTAAATAAGCAAATACCTAAATATTTAGAAATTATTAGAGTGGCGATTTAAAATGTTCAAGTAAGGCATTCCTTTATTGTTGCTGGGCTTCCTAACACCTTCTTGAATCTCTGTAGACAATGTGAAATTGGAAGGGTTAAACAAAACAAAACAAAAAAATCCATGTTTGTGATCAGGCCTTGGACTGAGGCCAAGTAACAGAGATCAGCAATAAGTTTCAAAGAACAAAGGGACTCTTACTTTCTGGCATGGTCAACTTCAGAAGGGCAGCTCTGATGCTCCACTGAGATTACATGGAAATACCTTGTGAGGATACCTGGCCATGGCTCCAGCCAATCTGCCTGTTGTTATCATCGTCTCTAGAACTGGGGACTCACGGGGTCGGCCACATTTCTGGGGTATTCATTAGGGACCATGTGACAAGTCTTTCCTATGTTTTGACTTTGGAATTAACTACCATGTGGCTAAGCCAGGCTCCACTGCCCAGGTGACTCGGGGCAGATGGGATGACCGCTTCGGAGGAGCGCTTTATGGTGAGCCAGTCGTGTTATGTATGCCCTGAGGTGAGGCTGCACACATTTGCTCGAGAGGCAGGAGGCAGTTTTTTCTACACCACCTAATTAGGTTGTCTCCAGATGGAAGAACAGATGAAAATGGCTTATGTTTATTCATACAGCTAAATCCGGAGAGGGGATCTTCATGAAGGGAAAGTCTTCTCAGGAAGAGGCACCCACAGGCTTCCTGCTCTAGAAAAACAATGAGGAGGATGGATCCTTGGTAGCCTTCATTCCCTTTTTAAAACGTTTTTATCTTTTGTGCCTGTACTGAGGCTTGAACTCAGGGCCCGAGTGCTGTCCCCAGCATTTTTGTGCTTAAGGCTAGCACTCTACCACTTGAGCCACAGCTCCACTTCTGGCTTTTGGGGGTTATCTGGGCATAAGAGTCTCAAAGATGCTCCTGCCCAGGCTGGCTTTGAACCATGACCCTCAGATCTCAGCTTCCTGTGTAGCTATGATGACCGGCTGAAGAGCTGAAGGACAGTGGCCAGACCCAGAGTGCAAGCTCCACAACGGACAAAAAAAATCAATTGTCTCACGGACTTTTCTGCCTGGGCTGGCTTTGAACCGTGATCCTCAGATTTCAGCCTCCTGAGTAGCTAGGATTACAGGCATGAGCCACGGGCACCTGTCTCCACTCCTTTTTATAAGGACTAATACTTCTAAGCACACCAACATTTCTAGTACATTTGTACATTGAGTCCCTTTCATGAATAAAACACTAACAATTCCAGAGCCAAATGCATGGCTCTAACTTTTGGGATAATCCTCACCAAAAATTCAAGGTATCTGAGTTACCATTCACTGGCAGAAAGTTCCTTCTATTGTCTGGCCTCAGTCCCTCCTTCTCTCCCCTGAGCCCCTTTTCCCTTGGAGAAGAAGAATATCCATGGGAACAAAAATGTGAAGTCAGAAAACAGAACAACATTTTTGATAAAAGGCAAAACCTCTTGGTAAAGAAAAACCCCAGGCTAAGGCTGACCAGCTGAGGTTGACTGCTGGTCAGACTTAGCCCCTTTCCACCCTTGCTAAAAAGCAAAAAAACATCTCTCCCTCCCTCAAGCTTCCCAGGCCTGGCAGCTCTGCAGTTTACCACAAACTTTGCTGAAGCCACTGATAACCTTGAGGCTTCTCACCATCTGTACTGAGTTGCTGTATTCGTCAGGAGCTTACAATAAAAACCATTTCTGTAAAATAGACTACCCCCACCCTAAGGTTGTATTTTGACTTCTGTAATCCAAGGATATGTTTTGACATTTTGTAATCAAGTATCAATAGCGTCAATTGGATTGAGAGTATCGATCATGCTGACCAAGTCAAGATTATGTTTTGCCTATGTTCTTGTGACTCGAGGCTGTTTTGCTTCTGTAACCTTGCTTGCTTGCTTTGATAAACGTCACCTACATGAAACCCCTTCCTATACAAAAAATCCCCCATGAAAAGCAAATGGGGTTGTTCTCTGAATTTACCCTTTGTTCATACGAGCTCTAGTCTTGTGCACAGGAAATAGTTTATATTAGCTTCCTTCCTTCCTTCCTTGCTTTTTTTAGACCAGGATTTGAACCAGGGAGATGTTTTCACTCATTGGTAGGTGCTCTGCCATGCCTCCCACCCCATGTCTTCTTTTTTATGTTCTCCAACCCACCCTAAGCCTCATCAAAACCTTCTTGCTAACAAAGACTTTGGTTTGTTTGGTGTTAGCCAGAGCACTCCCTTCCCATAAAGCACGCTCCTTTCCTAGGCAACACTAGGCCCATGTAGCAAAGGCAGTAGATGATCAGTCTCCAACCCCCCTTTACCTTGGGATGAAACTCCTCTGGGGCAGCTACCACCATATAAGGCAACAAGAGCCCCTTAGAGTGACCTTCAGCTCTAGGTAGCTGCAGGACCCCTTATCTACTACCTGGGCAGCAGCCATCAATCCTAGTCCGCCATGATGAAGCCCGGTCTCCACCTCCTAGACCCTTCTAGCCCCTCCTAGCCTTAGCAGATTATATAGGTCACCTCAGACAATAGCTGGCACCTCTTCTCACTTCTCTCTTGTGAGAAGGGGTCTTGCTGGTCTCTTTACCGGCAAAAAAACCTTTTCTTTATTCTTTCTACTTGGATGTCAGTATGGTTTTCTGGCAAAGTCTAATAATATACTCTAACATTTAGAATCTGCTTGCCCAATACAGTGTTGTACTTTGCCCATAATAGTTAACCTAGAGAAAATGTTGGGAAACTATTTCAGAAATCTGAGGCATTAAAAACCTATATTTTATAATACTAAAAAAAAATTTAGGATGCTAGTATGTAGGTTTCTTTTTTTTTCTTTTTCTTTTTGTTGGTCATGGGGCTTGAACTCTAGGCCTGAGCACTGTCCCTTAGCTCTTTAGCTCACTGCTAGAGCTTTACCACTTGAACCATAGTGCCACTTCCGGTTTTCTAGTGGTTTATTGGAGATAAGAGTCTCATAGAGTTTCCTGCCTGGGTTGGCTTTGAACTGAGATCCTCAGATCTCAGCCTCCTGAGTAGCTTGGATTACAGACATGAGCCACCGGTGCCTGGCTAGTATGTAGGTTTCTTTTCTTTTCTTTTTTTTTTTGGTTGTGGGGCTTGAACTCTGGGCTTGGATGCTGTCCTTGCACTCTTCAGCTCAAGACAAGCACTCTACCGCTTGAGCACTACCTCCGGTTTTCTGGTGGTTTATTGGAGATAAGAGTCTCTTGGACTTTCCTGCCTGGGCTGGCTTTGAACCGCGATCCTCAGATCTCAGCCTCTTGAGTAACTAGGATTACAGGTGTGAGCCACCAGTGCCAGGTGTATGTATGTTTCTTTAAGAAAAAAACCATTGTTGTGATTCAGGAACATGCAGGAATGTTCATAGACATGGCAAAAGTGATTACAAGGAAATGATTTTTCTGTTTAAAGCCACCAAATGATTATTCTGTTTAAAGCCATTTGAAAAATGAGGAGGGGGAAGAAGAAGTTATATGGACATTAATAGAGGGAATGAACTCTTGTCTGGAGCATATCTATGGAGTTATATCAGTGAAAGCTCCCTTCCACTATTACTGTGTGCAAATAAGATGGTTTTCTGAAAGAAAAAAAAATTCGTGGTAAGGGCTATGGTCTGAATGTTTTCTCCCTCCAAAACTCAAGCTGAATGCCATTGTGATTGTATTAAAAAATGGAACCCCTAAGAGGCCACGAGGGATCTAAGAGGACAAGGTCTCATCCTGCATCCCTGTCCTTCCACCTTCTGCCAGGGGATGACACAATGAGAACTTACTACCGGCTACAAGCACCTTCATCTTGGACTTTGTAGTCTCCAGAAGTGTGAGAGAATCTACACCATCAATGGCACGCTGTGATCACTGCACAGAATAGAATTTTGATGCAAAAGAAAAAGCCAATGGGCAAATTTACCAGAATTCTGGAAAGCCATGAAGCAGCAGCATAAGTGGTTTGCCTCTTTCTCCAGCAGCAACGTAGTGAAATCTTAACCCTGAATCCTAAAAACAGAACACATGGAATGTCAGTGATGTTTGATGCTGGCTATCAAACTATGATATTTAGTGTTTCCATTTCCCTTCATTTACGGCCAGGTGCCTATGGCTTACATCTCTAACTACTCAGGAAGCTAGCCCAGGCAGAAGGCCTGTGAGACTCTTATTTCCAATTAACCACCCAAAAAAACAGAAGCAGAGGTGTGGATCAAGTGTTAAGAGTATCAGCCTTGAGCAGAAAAAACTAGGTGACAGCGCCTAGAACCTAAGTTCAAGTCCCAGTCCCAGCACAAAAACCAATACCAAACAAAACCCTTATTTGCATTAATCTTGACATCAAAATAAAGTAACTATTACTCATTTTCAAGACATCAGTTTTTTTAAATGATGATTTATTCCTTAAAATGAATGGAATGATTGACTTTTGTTGACATTTCCTTTCTAGTCCCTTCCCTTCTTGTTCTCCAAAGTCAGTTTAAATATTTTGAGCTTCTGAGGCAATGTCACCTTTTTGTAGCTCTCCTCCTACTGATGTGTCACGTTTTGTCTCTCTCAACTTCCGTAGGCCACGTAAATAAATCTGATGCGATTTATATTCCTGCCAACCTCACCCCCTAGCCATGTACTTTTCTCAGCTTGCCCATCAAAAGCTGTGCCATCCATTACATAATTCACACCTCCTTCTCTTATTTTTAGGTGTCTCCTTCCCACATTATTATTTGGGGTGTTGCATTGTACTGTTTCCTTGGCTGCCTGCACCTCACATCAAACTGCATCCTGAGTGTTCAAGACTTCCCTCTGCAAGGTAGAAATAAGATAGCCAAAGGAAAATAAAATAGAGGGGGGTGGGTAGGGGAGGCAGAGGCCAAATACTAAACAAATGGAAGATAGCAAAGTAGAGAAGCTAGTAAGAAAGAAAAGCAAACATTCTAAAAGAAAGCAAGCTAGGGAAAACTAGGAAGCAAAAGCTGAACACAGACACTAGCTTTTGCATGAGATTACCCAAGTAACTAACTCAAATGTGCAAGAGTCTTAAAGATCATCTAGGGTAGAAGGGGGTGGGAACAACGCAGTCAAAAATTCAGGAGGCAAAAAATATCTTGGAAAATATCTTGGGTTGGAGGTATGGCTCAGATGGCAGAACACCAGCCTACAAAAAGAAGGAGGAGGAGGAGGAAGAGGAGGAGAAGGAGGAGGAGGAGGAGGAAGAGGAGGAGGAGGAAAGAAAAACTGACTATCCTACAAAATTAAAAGAAGTGAAAGAAAGGGTGGGTTGGGCGGGATGGATGAAAATGTTGGTGACATTGTCCAAGATGCATTGCATTCATAAACTGCTTTGCTGAATGGAAACCACCACTTTTAGATGATATATAAGTCTGGCACCAGTGGCTCATGTCCATAATCCTAGCCAATCAGGAGGCTGAGATCTGAGGATAATGGTTCAAAGCCAGCCTGGGCAGTTATGTCCTGGAGACTCACCTCCAATTAATCACAGAAAAAGCTGGAAGTGGAGCTGTGGCTTCAGTAGTAAAGCACTAGACTTGAACAAAAGAAGCTCAGGGACAGTGCCTAGGCCCTGAGTTCAAGCCCAGAACCAACACACACACACACACACACACACACACACACACACACACACACACACTTATATATAATATCCATATA